ATAGCGACCGAAAAGCAAATGAATGGCAAATGAATTCTCTTGTGATATTTTTGTGTCGCGATAGATTCCTCGCGAATGCGCTGAAAAATTCGAGAGATGACTTGTTAATGATAACTTTAACGTCTTTAATGTTAATTAAACGAAATCTATATGTATATACGATATATACATTCCTTTTCCAACATGATAAGGGACATTAATGGAGCGCCGATTAACACGATTTGAGCGTTAAATTTTAAGAATGCGTAAGAATATATGACGCCAAAGCGCGTCGACAATTCACAACATTGAAAGTGAATATGATTTCTTTGGGAAACAAATTAGAGTTTTTCCCCATTTAGAAATGTCTTCCAAGTAATAATAAAACAGACAATGATTGTGACGTGGGGATCTATCTATAAAACAAAGCCCACTTGTTAGAACGAAATGTTAATTCAAGAGACGTCGATGATAACGATAACGATCGGACGCACTCGTGTCCGAATTATCGTGTTCGAAAACAGGTTTCAAAAACGTCTAAAAAATTCGACGTTACCGTTCGCTTCCGGTTGCTCCTTCGATGCGAACACCTGCACGCGTCAATGCGTGCTCCGCGTGCACATACGTGCGTATACGTTTTCACGAACTTGTGACACGAGTACCGGTAGCCGGCAGTGCCGCGGACGACATAACGGCAATATCGTGTCGTGACGTCCTGGCGAAAACTGTGTCGAGATGAGTCCTTCTCCGAACTATGCGAAATCTACTGTGGTATGTGTTTTCAACATGAATTACCAATTGCTAAAAAAATAATAATAAAATTAAAATTCCATGTCTTTACAGAATATTTAATTAAATTTGGAGAAACTTTCCTCAACAATTTTAAAAATTATATATATTTATATATTATAGATAGCACGTTTTTAGAAATTTTTATTTTTATTTCTTTTTTCCCGATCATGAGAATAAGAATAAAATAATTTCAATTAAAAATCGCTTAAATTCTGATGAAAATTCTCGGAAAACTCCAGGTTTTTTAAATGAATGTTCTAACAAACTTTCTAATGTGTAATAATCGTACATCTTTCAGTCGCGGAGCCGGAGAGAGGACGTTGCCGAAATCGTGCGCGCAGCCCGAACTTCTCATCGATTACCACAGCCGCAAGCGCATCCCAAGTGACGCGTCTTTCGAAAATAGTGCTCTGCAACAGAACGCATAATTGACCCAATTGAACCGATAGGTGTTTATGGAGAGAAAGAGATACCCGGCCTCTTGCCAAGGTTAGTCACTAATTCCTGCATTCTGTGAAGAATCTTGAAATCGTGCGTACAACTAATGGCATCCCGTCATTCCACTTTATGTTTGGATCAATTAACGGATTTACGAATGAGGAAAAATGGGCCGAGGAATATCTTCGGCAGCGCGCATTGAAACACGAATCCAAGTTAAATATAATACGCCTAAAAATCAATAAAATTTCGCGTAATAATATCGATTTGAGAGATAAATGTATGTCTAGCCGCTGCAGTGTATGCTCAAATTAATTTCAATCTTACCAAAAGTTAATCAATGTGTCTCGTTTAAATTCAATTACTGCACAACGAGACATGTTTAGAAATCGCGCGATGATACATTTCTTATTATGCGCGGGCTTTTAGTTTCCAATTATACAAAAATCCTGTTCACGGCTAACCGGTGTGCATATCCGCATCTTATTAAGAGCAAAGGTTACAACGAAAGACGAAGAAATACATGGACTCGACATACTTGTTATTGAGAAAAGCGACTCGGACGAATATCGCAGGCGTATCAAGCGCATCATGCTCAAAGAACAACGTTTAATATATACACCATGTAGAAAGTATCGAATGTGCGTGGCACACTATCGAGAAACATTTTTGCCCTCGGGGGTCGATCGCTGAAACCGGAACGACGCACGGTGCGATGCCGGTGAAACGGCCGGAAACTAGAGGCAGCTCGACGTAATCGCTTCGTTAAAGCCTGAAATCGCGTTAGCATCGACGTTTTCGCGCAAGAGAATCAAAGTGAGAACCGACGAGATATCGTCAAAGTACTCTTGTACTCTTTTACGAAGTAAAATCCAAAACAGAAACGATCGTGAATTACTAGAAATTACAAGAACAAGAGTATTTGAAAGTCAATTCTTTCCGGATTAAATAAGACTTAAGGCGATATTTCCAGTATCTTACGTCGGGGAAAATTTATCGTTAATAATTATTTATAGCCGCGGCAGGTTTAAAATAAAGCGTTATTTTTTCCTGGCCGAGATTCGTGTCACGAGCTTAAGTAAACGAGCGGCGATCACCTCGTGGGCGCCGCTTAGAAAATTTGTCGACGCACTCGCAGCGAAAACGCTCGATAACGCGCTTTTCCGCGGCTTCCGACACGCGTTGCAAGTCGCAAAGGATGTACCTAGAAGCGTCTCGTTGCCGGCAATAATCCCGCCACCCCTCGCTCGCTCATTGACGTTTCAGGCGTAATTGGACATAACGGCACGGTCGCAATCAAACGCGTAATTTCGTGGCAAAAGTATCGACTGCTCCAACGAACTATCGAATCTCTCACGCCGATTAAATGGCGTTTAAATGGCACAGAATTATCCCAAGATGACGATCCGGCGATAAGCTCAAGTCGTGATTGAAAACCGACCGAATTTCCTCAGTACGTTCACGGGTGCGTGCGCTTGTAATTTCTAGCTTCCGCGATCGACTCGTCGTCTGACAAAAACTGCCTGAAATGAAATTTTGGCAAAACGATTTATCTCTCAAATTTCTCAGAAACGCAAAATTCTCGACGAGAGACTTACTTACTTGGTGAATTCAATCTTAACGTACGTCGCTGCCGTTCACGCACCTTCCTGTCGGGACACCCGGTATACGCACGATATCCCCGTAACCGATCCGTACCATCGGCGCTCGATACCCGTCCCCGGCCATACGACGCTTCTCACGTAATCCGCGCTTCCTTTTTGTTACATACCGCGTGACTGTTACATGTTACACTACCACATGTGTGTCGCGCGTGGCATGGCGTAGCGTGGCATGGCGTGGCGTGGCGTGGCGTGGCGTGGCTTGACTTGGCTCGATGAAAACAACGCAACCAATCGGGAATTAGTCACGTAAATTTTTGTCACAATTATTTATGGCGTCACAGTTGAAAAGACTAGAAAAGTGTATGTACAACGCTGGAAGGTGCACGCAGCAAAATTTCGAGCTTGCTCTCTGTGGACAGATCGATGCATCCTGCACAGAACTGCGACGACGTATGCACCGCGCCGGCTTGTCTGTATACACAATAGTTTTTGCACCCTACGTTTCAGCGCTTCCCCCTCACGGGATAAATGCAGCCGTCCGGAATCGCAATTCTATTCGGAGGTGAGAATTTCGCAGCGAGGGTCGAGAAACAAACGTCGTCGAAAATGGAAGGAAAGAAAGCGTTCGGCGTCCAGAAGATAGAACGGTTGTTTGATCAAGAGCTGCGTAAAAATATAATGCAATTCGTCCAAATTTAGTATCGTTCGCTCTTCGGATTACAAATCGGAATATAAATCGTGACAATATACCAGACGCGTAAATCGACAATTTCTTAACTTTCGGTTTCGGAAAAAACGATAACGGAGTACCGATAACGTACGTGTATAGGTACTTAACATTATCGCAAATTATTGCGGCGGCAGGTGAATGTTCAGTTTACTTGAGTAATAATTCGCGTCGTAAATAAAAATACCTGCCTTTGAATTTATCCGATCGTTTTCAGATTTCATTTTCCGACGCGATCGAGAAAACGCGTTAACGCGCGAGCGGGGCGAGCGGCTCCGATTTTCCCCGATCCCGCGGGATCAGCCGCGCGCTTCGCCCAGCCCGGCGTTCGTACCGGCGATATCGCCAAGTGGAAGTGACACACTTACCTGCGAGATACGCGAGAGCAGCAGCAGCCTCCGTCGTGTACGACGCACCAGCGCGAGCGCGAGGAAGCGCGACGCGCGCGGCGAACAATGACACGGGCGATCGACGGGAGGGGGCGGGCGGGAACAGGGCTTGGTTCTCCTTCCTTCGAAACGCGGAGCCTCGAAGCGAGGTGACAGGCGACACCAGGCCGCGCCGTGGCGTACCGTAACGCAGCACGTATAAACAACTCTCTCCTTCTCTCTTTCTCTCGCGCTTCCTGGGATTCGACAGGTCTGTTCGGTCGGCGGGTTGTCCTCCGGATCACGAGACGACGCCGTACGGCACAGGGGCCACGGCCCATGTTGCCCGCGCCATTTTCAAATAGTCCCACGAGCGGCGGCGGCGGCGGCGGCGACGGCGGCGGCGACGGCGACGGGCCGGCGGTGGCGGCCAAGTTGAGAAATTGCGTATCGCGAATGACGCGACGCGGACGCCGCCCAGACGGTAGACACGCGCTGCGATAGATTTCTCGTCTCCCTCGCTCTCTTCCCGCGCCTTCTTCCCTAGAAAATTTCACCGCGCGCGAATAATCGCGAAACAACGCGAGCGAATCGCTCGGAGCAGCGTTATTGCACCGAAACCACCGCGGCACTGCCCTCGCCTCGACTGGTTCTTACACGCCTGCCGTCATGGCCGATGCGACCAACCGCGACTTAGGAAAAGCGGAGTTTCTCTCGTGACGCAATCGGACAAGCACGCCCCGTTTCGTATGGCATTTTCTCCGTCAGGCGGCGTCGCGCGCGATCCACCATTGTCGATATTGTCGGTTGTCTCTTTATCCAAAGTGTAGAAATTTCAGCAGTCGATAATATCAAGTTCGAACGAGCATTTACCGACCCTCGATACGCGAGATACTCATTATAATTTTCAAAATATATGTATGTGTAATTAATATTTTTTCCAACACTGACACTTTTAATTGCAATCGATGACAATAACGAAGAAAAAATTAAGGGGTTCCTCATTATATCTCTTCTTGTTATCGCTACATCTATAATACATGTATTCGTAAATATCCTGTTTGGAGATGCAAACAATTATAGTATAAAGATATATATAATCTCTATATATGTATACATAGTTTTACCTGCTAGAATTGCCTACATTTTTATGTACTTTCATCGCGGGCGATGTCAAAGTCAAGGAATTATCAATAATTCGTGCCGTATCTGGTGGTATCGCATTTATAGAGTGGAGCGAATAAGGGACATTGCACACGTATGTATACGTATTTGCGAAAAATATTTTCTTTCGATACGAATGTCCCGAATGCTTGTCTTTCCAGGGACAATACCTTTTCGTATAGGTATATTTTGTATATGCAGCGTCTCGTACCAGCACGTTTAACTCGCTGCGTGCGATACAATGCGGTCAAGTCACAAGTACGCGGTACCGTATGCAAGATAAAGTAAAATGAAAAAGTGGGAGGTTAAAGGGGACGGTGGATCGTTTACGACGATTCGACGTGGCGAGCGAGACGCGAACAGGATCGGGATTATCTCTGGAGTCGCCGCGATCTCGCGTCTGGTCCAGGACCGCGGATGTTCATCGTCGCTCGAATCGAATTTTCGGTTACGCAGACGAAACGGACGTCGTGAATGGAAGTCACGAACGAAAAATTGTCAGGATCCTGACCATTCTTCTCGTTCGAGCTTTGACGATCGAGTGCCGAGCTCCTCCGGATTTATACCCGATCGCGACGTGTGCCCGATGATGTGTCGATGTTACATAATTTTTTGTGATAATATATACGTCAACCGTCGTTCTGATATCGTGAATATAAGGTCAGTGGTTCGCCGATTATCACGCTGCGAGGTTAGACGATTCTCTGGACTCTGCAAAACGTAACTGGCACACGGCACAATTTCTTTTCTAACAACTCCTGCACGATTATTAATCTGTAGATATGTATACACACATTGATTTGTTTGCTTTTTACTACTGTTACTTCTTCAGAAAATAATTGACTTTATTTTGCATATTTTGGGATAAATCTTGATTGATAGTATATCGGTCGCAACTAATCTCTACTTATTTTAACTGACTGAAATAAATTTTTAAAATTATATAATTGTACAAAGAGAGATACAATTTTGATTTTTGCTTAATACAAGATATTCTTGAAAAAAAAAAATGTAATGTATAAGAGACATAGCATGTATAATGTATATATAAACTAATAAAACAGCACAATAAATAATGGCAAGTGAATCTTGGAATATCTTGGTAACGGGAGGCGCTGGTTATATCGGTTCTCATACAGTATTGGAATTGGTACAAGCGGGTCTTCAGGTGGTGGTAATAGACAACCTTATCAATGCCTACAAAGGTGAGACGTAATAAGCTATATATGGCAAAAAATAATATATATGTGATATACTGTATGTATGTGTATACACACGCATATATACAACATACAAATCAATCTGTCAAATTAAATAATATATGAATAACAGTACATTAATTACCATCTATTTTCTAATTTCTTGATAATACAGCACAATGCATGCAAATTAGAGATCTAACAATTATTCAAATGAATTGGCATTATTTTGTTATGTATTGTATAATAACTTTTAATACAAATTTTTAATTTTTCAATCTGTTTTTCTTATGTTTACAGATTCAAATTCTAAGAAACCCGAATGTCTCCTTAGAGTAGAGAAATTGACAAATAAAAATGTTCCATTTATCAATTGTGATATCACAAACATCAGTGATCTGAGAAGCGTGTTTCAACAAGTAAATATATTTATTTGCTCATAAATTTTGCTGATGACACATTGGATTCAGATATTCAGGTTTTTCATTTTATTGCAGCATACTTTTCATTGTGTTATACATTTTGCTGCGTTGAAAGCGGTAGGGGAGTCATGTCAGAAACCACTCGAGTACTACAAGGTCAACGTCAGCGGAACGATAAATCTATTGCAAGTTATGCGGGAGAACAATGTAAAACGTTTTATTTATTCAAGTAGTGCCACAGTTTATGGCATACCTGAACAACTTCCTTTAGTAGAAGACATGAAAACTGGCAATTGTACAAATCCGTATGGAAAGACAAAGTTCATGGTTGAGGAAATATTAAAGGATTTGTGTGCATCAGATAAGGTACGTTATGGTATACCGTTTTACAATTCGCTTTAATAAAAAGTTAATTTTTAGGAATTTTCCGTTATATCTTTGAGATATTTTAATCCCGCTGGTGCACATCCCTCAGGTGAAATTGGAGAAGATCCCAATGGTATTCCAAATAATTTAATACCCTACATTGCACAAGTTTCTGTTGGAAAAAGGGACGTGTTATATGTTTATGGCAATGATTATGATACCCCTGATGGTACAGGTGAGAGTTTTTTATTTTCTTGATTGTAGGAAATATGGATAGAAGATGAAATTTTTTTATCTTATAAAACAGCTTATTACACAAAGAGCGTATATTGTAGGGAGAAAGAGAGGTCTATGACGATTACAATTTAACTCTTTTTTTTTTTTTTTTTTCAATTAAACTTGCAGGTGTACGTGACTATATTCATATTATGGATTTGGCAGTTGGACATATGAAAGCTTTGATGTATCAAAAAACTCGTAATCCAATGGGATTTAAGCCGATAAATCTTGGCACTGGGAAAGGCTATTCTGTACTTGAAGTTATACATGCGTTTGAGAAAGCATCCACGCAGAAAATACCATATAAAATAGTTGAACGTAGGCCAGGTGATATCTCCGCCAGTTATGCGAATGCTAGTATCGCTAATAAGGAACTAGATTGGACTGCTACAAAAGATATGGATGACATGTGTAAGTTGGAGTAATAAATATATATATACGAATAGCAACAGTTGCTCATATTTTCTATATTTTGATATTCTAAAATTTAAAAAACCTATTGATATTCCAGGTGCAGATACGTGGAAATGGCAACGAAATAATCCAAATGGTTATAAACGCTAATAAACGTCGTGCCCCTTATGCCTAAATAACTAAGAAAAGCTCGAAGCTTTTAGCTTGTTTACACTTTTTGCCTTTTGCATATCACTGGATAGATAACGGAACCATGGTGGTATACAGTTACCAAAGTTTAGACCAAAGCATAAGAAAAATATAGTTATTTATCTTCTGTTAAGCAAATTTAATAATAATAAGACTTTCTATCTAACAAACTTTAATATTGGAAATGGTATCTATTATTTGGCATATAGATATATTTATACAAATCTAATAAATATATTTTAAAACTTACTCTTTTTATATACGTTTAAACTAAATTAATTTCTATTACAATATGGTGCCATTTTAAATGTTATATAATATCAGTATATAAATTAATATGTATATAATTTATATATACATATATAAAGGACATAAATATAAAAATATGTATAAAAATACTTTTATACATACTATAAATATACAAATAATATAAAAACAATGTAAATAATTATAGTATATAAATAAAAGAGTATGCAATTTATTACTGAAATTGTTTTCAGCCTTTTTATCATAACCTTGATGTATATTGTATAATCAATTTTTTGTTGTCAATTGATAAATAAATTCATAATAATAAAATTAAATATGGCACATAGATAAGTGAGAAGAAAAAATTTAATTCAAAATATTTCGATTTTGCGAATTAATTTCATTGCCCATTCGAGATCAATAAGATACGTATTGAGGAACGACCATGATTATTGATAAAGAAAGTGGCGAACTTTACAGATCGCGCGACTCTACGCGCGTATCTGTCAAACTTATTGTTTGACGTTGCATGTCACATTTACAACTTGTAACCAGCTGATCCATTATGTGAGCATAGAATCGAAGAAAAGTGAAAGCAGAATTCAACAGCCGACTAGAACTAGCTGTTAAAATTACTGGGATTTAAAGAACAGGTTAGGATCGCCCATTTGTCATCAGCTGATCAGCGGGATACTCGACACCTGTCTGTCTATTAAAATGTTCATTCAGATTCCGATCGCATTCAGTCGAGTCGTTCTGTGATACACTTTGTGATAGCTGCGACATTCGAGCCAGTCCGAAATGGACCCGTCGAAGGACGAGGCGCAGACGGAGGCAGCGCTGATCGACAGTCTGTCCGCGGAGCAGAACTCGAGATGCGAGTCACCGAAACGCGGCACCACCCTCTCCACCAGCACCAGCAGTTTCGAGGCACTGGACCCGCACGACCCAAATCTGAGTCGCCTGGCGAACACGATGTTCCAGAAGACGGGCGAGTACCTGCAGGAGGAGCTCACCGCTACCCACGCCGACTACCGGCTGCTGGAGCGTCTGAATAAGGAGACCATCGCCAAGTACACAGAACTGAAGATTATCTCGTCGAATGTAGTGCAGTCATTGGACTCGCTGAACGATAAGTATCAGAAGCTGCAGCCGATCCTGGACAATATCAATCAGATTGACGACAGCGTAAGCAAACTGGAGCAAGCCGCGTATAAGCTAGCGGCGTATTCCAAGCGACTCGAGGCAAAGTTTAAGGATCTCGAAAAGGATACGAAGAGCAAATGAAGCTGTAACTATGAATATATAAGTCACTGTATCTTCATGTACCTATATATAACTGATAATAATTATCTTGGGCAACAATTATTACCAAGTATGAATGATTGTGTAAAAAAAGACATGTGAGAGCTAGCAATAATCCGAAAAGCATATGTCTTTCGTACATTATATTTATTAGTATATGAGACCTCTTAAACACGCTTACAAAACTTCTATAAAATCTTAGTTTGCCATCCTCTTTGCATATCATACAATATCTGACTTTTATAATTAACTTATCGATTAAGAGTGATGTATCTTATTTAGTGCTCTATCAAGCCTAATCTTTCCTCTGCAATATATTAATAAATCTCACAATGTGCCTGTGTAACAATATAAGTGTAAATATAATCAATATGTAAACCAAAAACGAATAATTATAACTATATTTAACAAAAAGAAAATGTGTGTATATTTGCCATAATATTAATACAATGAAAAGTATTTGTCACCTAATATAGCAGATAGAATTGATGATTCAGTTAATTCAGTATATAAAGTTGAATTTATTTTTAATCTTGTTAACAATAATTTACTGAAATATATAGTTTAAGTATACAACAGGTGATAGATGTGTATGATTTGCTAGAAGATAATACAAATTGCTAGAAGTGTGTGAATGGTAATCTTTTATCAGTACAACTCATTCGGTATAACGGTTTATAACTCATTACTTTAAGTGATACAATATTACGTGTTGATGGCTATATTCAATTATGAAGCATAACATAAATGGAATATTCAGATTTCGTAATTATAAAACTTCCGACATTGCTTTGTCTCGTCGCATTAAAACGTTTCATGTCACGAGAGTATGTGAGTTCAAAGCGACCAATTATTATGCTCCAATACGGTTTTCCAGATATCACAATACATCTTAAACGATCATAATAAAGAAAGCTGCATTGTTCCTATAATTTAATTGCCGATTAAAGCCGATACACTTTTATGGATGATGCTTAACAGTCTAAGAAATTGCCAGCCATTAACAATTCCAGAGCAATCTCGGGGGCAATAGGAAATTCTGGTATTTCTGTACTGCTGTTTGTGTAGCGTACTTTGTAAGTAAAATACATGCAGACCTTTTGTAAAACGTGAGACCTAAAAAAAAGACATTTGTTCAAACACTTATTACAGTATACATATTAATACAATTATTACAGTATATGTTAAACTTATTTTATGACTTCAAAGTAAAAAATAAAAAAAAACAAATTTGTACCTGCTGAATGTTTTTACACTTACGGGATTTCTCGAAAATTGACTTCATTGGCTTCATTTTCTGCAAATTGACCAGGACCGCTTAACATTGCTTTGATAGTGCCGCTTGTTAATGCGTGTTCCCGTTTAACAATAAATTCATGGCCGTCACTACTGACTAGCTTCACATACATTGCATTTGGTCCTTCACAGCCCCCATAAACAGGACTACCATTTTGCTAAAATTTTCAAAAGATCTCTCACATTATTTTGCCATGTAAATAGACTTAACAACACCTTATATTTATATATATATTATATATATATATACATATTATATTATATATATATATATATATATATATAATCTAGAATATTGTACAATTGGAAGAAATAATGAAATGTATAGCAGGATAAAGAGAAAAGGATCATGTCTAGAAAGCAAAATTTAAATTTGGAAAAATAGGTACCGCATGCATGTCTTTAGACGATCTGCCCTCTTCTTCTTCGGTCTTATTGACACTCGCTTCTTCATTGTGCTTGATCCAAAGAAAGATTAATGTTAATTGATATTTTACCACAAGCTTTTAGCTTTCCAGAAAGGGAGTATAATTTTTAAGTATAATTTATAACAGCAACACAATGTATACATTTATCATAGAGATATATTGTTATACATCCCATTTATATTTCATGCAAAGGGACACACATGCAAACAAAATTGTCTTATACATACTTTTTCAGCCTGCATGTTTACATCGGTGGACATGTTTGCTGTTGTGCAATTATCCTCCTAAAGCAAAACAGTTCAAATATAAAGACTATATATACATACACAAAGTATAAATGACATATAGAAACAGGTAAATATGTAAAATAAACAGCGACTAAGCAAAAAAATGTAAAGCTATTGTTTATAAAATTTCAAGAAATACTAATTATTATCGCGTTATCATAGATACAATTAAAAGCATCGAATAAAACATCTTATATACTGAAAAACAACAATAGGTTAACTTATATGTAGAGAAAAGTGTTTGAAGTGTTTTGCGGAGCGGTTATCTTACACGCACGCGAAACCAACCAGAAATTATTTTACAATTTCAAGTAGGACTGCTCCTGCGCTTATATTTATCTCGTCGACAGTGCAATATAATAAAAACGGGAATTATTCGCTGTGTATAATGCCACAGCTAAGTTATATCAACCTCGCTATATAGTTAATTATCTAACTGTAACGCATTGGGTAATTGATAAAAATAATTACGAATTACGCTCGTCAAATTATTAGGAAATAACAAGAGGTTTTACACGTACCTTACAGACGACACGAAATTTTAATTAAATCAGACTTGCTAATCGTGATGTGATACTATAGCAAACGTATATCAGCTGACGAATCGTCGACCATCGTCGACTGCCGATGACACTTGACACACGACTCCACATGGCCCGCACGACGACGACGCTAACGACGTCTGTCGAAACTCGAGTGAACCGAGAAAGCAAATCCACAAGCGCGAATGATACGCTGTGATCACTGTGATCTACCGAGTCGCACATAATGCAAAATATGTTTTAACTTGTAAGCACTTGTTTCGCTTACGTGACTCCAGATTGCGTTTTATTCGAGCGGTCAGCGGAGTAGTGTCACAATATGGCGATCAGTGCGGACTGCGGAGCCAATCAAATTTATTGCTACGGCCTTTTCATTCGCTGCTCGCTCGACTCGCTCGCGACTAAAAAGTGAAACAAACATTTCGCGATCAGATAATTCCTTCTTTCATGGACAATAAGAGCGCTTGCACGTCTATTTTCTATACTTTTTTAGCCGAGACATAAATCGTAGAGGTTAAATAAACGTCTGCGATTTTTTTATGCTTTTCAACGTGTCATTTGATACCAATAATAATTGTGAAGTAACTCAACAATGTCCATTTTATAAATCGTTTCAATTCAGGAACGTTTATTTTTTTACTATAAAAATTCTATTGATTTGATCGTCAAGCTTTATGCGATCCAACTGTCACTATCTCGTCCCTTGCACAGGTTGGATTATAATATATACACTTAGCTTTTATAATAATTTAACTTAAGTATAGCTTATTTAATTTATTCTTTATTTTTTATATATCTATAGATTAAGGGAAAAAAATATTTTAACAAATCCACTTCGATTGCATTTATTTATACAATATATAAATTAAATGAAAAAATTTAAACTTTCTTTTTTGAAAGCTGTTATTACTTGCAGTTTTTTAACAATTAATTTTCTCTAATTATTGAGTTTATGTTATTTATTTTTTATTTGTTTTATATTTAGTTCTATTCACAAATACATTTTTGTCACATTTGTAAATACATTTCAATAAAGTGCAATGTATTTTGTAAGCATTATTTTATTTGCTTTAAAATAAAATTGATATAATTTCATTTAATACAACAAATTATGTTACTTATTAATTTTGTAGATATTATGCAAATTTTCATACTGTTACTTATTTGGCAATGAAACATTAATAAAATATAATAAATTATATATAAAATTGAAAAATAATAAAACTTTACTAAACCTTCTCACCATTTTATAGGATGAAGATGTAAGAAACTGCAGCAATTAATTTAATGGATCATCATGACTGTTTTTAAATTAAGACAAAGTATCCATTTATTGGCAACAACTGGATTGTCTAGATAACGCCAAGCGTCTTTAAATTATATACAAGTGTAAATAATGTCCTTCAGAATACGTTTAGCTCGCAGCAGACCAATTAGACTTTTGGGGAATGTGGCCATGAAGTGTTGGGCTTTTAGTGGAGCGTACATCCTTGTGTGCTTTTTTCTATATTGGTTATATGGTGGGATTTTGGCTTTCTTCTTGCTGTGTTTTGCCACAACTGGTGTGTATATGTTTTTTATTATAAAACTTTATTTTCTAGTTCTATTTATTATTATTATTGATTTGAGAAATGTTATAAGACTAAAAATTGTTTGTTGTTACTCTGTCTAGGAATACTCTATCATAGAGAAGATCAACTTCTTTATCATCCAGAACTGCCAGCCCATTCGAGAGTTTACGTACCAGCTCCTTCAATATTTAATTTGCCTTATCAAAGTATATACACCAGAGCTGGAGATGGCACAATGCTGCACATGTTTTTTGTTTCTCAGCCAGAAGATAGAATGAGGAAGGCACCTACATTACTATTTCTTCATGGCAATGCTGGCAATATGGGCCATCGGTATTTTCATTATTTTACTTGGGAAAAGACAGAAATAAGACAAATTATTGTAAACTTATAGTCATAAGTTATATCGTAATACATTATATGTATTTGTTTCAGATTGCAAAATATAGTAGGACTGTATCATAATATTCAATGTAACATCTTAATGTTAGAATACCGAGGGTATGGTCTGTCGCAGGGCACTCCATCGGAGGAAGGGCTCTATATGGATGCCCGAGCGGGGATAGATTATTTGTTTAGTAGAACGGATATTAATACCAATGAAATCATAATTTTCGGCAGATCGCTGGGTAAAGAATCTAATTTTAATATTTTTAACTATTACTTTCTTAAATTTATATTTTATTATATTAATCTGTCAGAACAGTGATCTCCTTACTAATTATCAGTACTTGTAATAATTAAATTTGATAAAATTGTAATTTTGATAGGTGGAGCAGTAGCCATTGATTTAGCCACAAAGGAAGAAAATTCCCAGAGAATTTGGTGCCTTATACTTGAAAACACATTCACCAGTATCCCAGATATGGCCGCCTTATTTGTAGGATCTAAATTTTTACAGTATCTGCCGCTTTTTGTATATAAAAACAAAGTAAGCAAATCACAGAAAAGAGACAAAATTTTTTAATTATTATATGCGATTGTTTTGGTTCTCTCTTTACAAAAAGATTTAAAGTTTTTTTTTATGAAAAAGATATAACATATCTTCATTACATTAAAAAGTATTACACACTAGAGTAAATCTTTGTTAATATTATTCTTCAAAAAAATGTATGTATTAATTTATTATATTTCGTATAATCTCTCTTTTCTATATTTATATTTATATTTATATTTTCTTTTCATGATTTCTCACATTTTCATACTTCTTATCTCGTTACAGTATTTGTCTATTCTGAAAGTTCGCTCAGTCACGGTGCCCACTCTGTTTATTTCCGGTCTGGCGGATACATTGGTACCACCCCGTATGATGCAGGATCTTTACAAAAATTGTCGAAGTACGTACAAGCGTATACTTCCGATTGTGGATGGCACACATAACGAAACTTGGTGTCAGCCGAATTATTATCAAAATATTAACGCCTTTCTGACTGAACTCAGGGAAAATCCACCTCCAAGAGTAACGTCTAGTCATTGGCAAATCGATAATATTTAGTGATAAGGCGCTTTTATTATCACATATATTTTCATTTATTAATGTTATAAATGTAAAGTAATTTTTACGTTTTAAAGATAAAAAAAAATCGATTTTATCGGAATAAACTTTTTCTACTTTTCGTAGAAAAATATTTTTCACGCATTACACAAATAGAGAAATTAATCTTATATGACTCAAACGTAATTAATAATTACTCTTGCGTCCATCCGATTCCAATCATAATTAATTAAATAAGTATTTCGAGTTATAAGTCAATTAGTTAAATAATATAATTAATTACTTAAACTTGATTAGTTAAAATGATCAGAAAAAACATGAATTAATCAATGAGAAATAGATATTAACATCTTAAGAGATTTTACAATGAAAAACATGTGAAAATAAAAATCCTCAAAAAATACCACATTTTAAAAGTATGTGATGAGAATATTATAAAACATAAGTTTATTTAAAGTAAGTTTTGAGTTTTGTGACCAAAGTATGCATGTGTCTGTGAAGATAAAATTTTTGATATATTTCTTCCTATAAATATCAATATTATTAGATTGTATTATTATTATTATTATTATACATATTATTGCAGACCGTTCCTGTTACAATAAGTACTATAGTAAAAAATTAAAAATAATTATAAATAATGACTAATCTATGCAATTTTTGCAAGAAGAACTGCAAGAATTGCATATTATATAAATTGTGCTTAAGAATATAATAAAAATATGTTTTATATTTTTTCCCAATAACAGTCTTCTGTTTTTTATAAGAATAAAAAGATTTAAAATCTACGATTGATTCGTCTTCTCTTTGCGTTCATTCTTCGAATCAATAGAATGCCGATTATCAATAGAATTGAAAGCAGAGCGATTACTGTAGCCAGAACAGCAATCATTCCAGGACCAGGTTTGAATGTCACAACCTGTTTGCTAGAAATACTTGCAATATTAACGGTCATACTTTCAGCAAAATGTGGAAATTCATCGCAAAAGATTTCTGCTTTCCATTTGTACCAATGGATCATCCTTTTGTTGGCTAATGGAGGTGGAGCAGCACATCTAATTAATAAAATATAAAAAATAAAAGGAATTAATGATTAATAATAAATTAAATGTTATTAGTCGTTAACTAATTTAATATATCGAAAAAGAAATAAGTTGGCATTAAAGCTTTAATATATTTAAAATATATATATATTCTAGAATATTTCGATCATATTAACAGTTACCTCAACTCTTCTAGAAGACTGCGGTTCATAATGTAAAGTTTTGGAACTAATTCGTTCAACATCCATTGCAATGAGCAATTGCAAATAAATGGATTTCCTTGCAGATTAATGAGATATTTTAAATTTGAAATGTTTTTGTTATAAATAAAATCGTTTATATTGAATAGCTTTGATGATAAGTAAGTAAAATTATTATTGCTCAAATCTAGCTGAAAAATGAAAAAAAATATAATAAATGGTTTTTTTTAAATGTATCTTATACATATATATATATATATATATATATATATATAATACACTTACAGAGCAAATATTCATATGTTGAAAAACGTTTTCCTCAATTATATTCAACTTGGTATTGCTCGAAATAATTAAATTAATACAATCATTTCTCTTTTCCTTTAACATTAGAAATGTGTCTTCGTCAATCTTCTCAATCGTGTTTATAAATTTCATTTCAAATATTTCCAAATTCAATTCAGATCGAATTTTTATATCTTTTAGTTGGTTTCCATTGACTTTTAATATTCTTAAACTTGGAAAATTTTTAACAGAAATGGTTTCAGGGATTATTGTTAAATAATTGAAGGATACATCTAGCGTTTCTAAACTATTTAGAAAAACATCCGGAAAGTCTGATAAGAAATTCGTACTGATGTTTAAATTTTTTAATTCCTCCAGTAATGTTAAATTGTTATGTATGTTAGAAATGTTGTTGTTTTGAATGTGTAAGGTATGAATTGATGATTTTTGGAATGATACAGTATTAATAAGATTGTTTTCCGTATAAAGTTCCAACAACGACAATGGAAGATTTTGAAAATTTAAGGAGAAAAGTTGATTATTGTTAACGCGAAGAATCTTCAAATGTTGCATGTAAAATAATGAACTGACCGGGAGAGTGATAAGTTTATTGAAGGAGAGATTTAAATACTCCAATTCCGGCATAACTTCGAGGAAGTTCTGTAAAATATTAAAATAAATGAATTTAATAAAAGTGATGTTAATATATATATTATAAATATATATATATATATATATATGTAATTTTAATTACATTATACACTCATTGCATAAAAACATTACTAAATTTCACTAAAAATTATGCTATTAAAATTATTGTATTACCAGATCAACAAGATCGTTGTGAGATACATCAAAAACTTTTAACTTTGTTATTGAATTTTCTATGCTTTTCTCCAAATTGTTGATGCGATTATGACTCAAATTGAGTTTTAAGAGGGAAGAAACGTTGAGAATAGAAATATCAAAGCCCCAGAGTAAATTGTTAGAACAATCTAAATCTTCAAGCTCATTTAGATTCTCAAGGATATCTGAATTTATATTATCCAATTTATTTTGAGACAAATCTAATCTTTTTAAATGTTTCAGATTTTTTAGTTCATTTATGGGTAGAAGCGTCATATCGTTTTTTGAAAGAATAAGTTTGTTTAGTGGTCGATGCTTATCTAGAGTAAAAAGATCAAAGTTAAGAACTTCATTAGTTCCTAAATGTCTGTCATGGCAATCAATAATTGGTCCTGCATCTATAAGAATAATGGTATAGGTAATTAATTATATTGACAAAAATGTCATGTTGATTAATTTTTAATCCATTTCTTCTATTATTTCTACTAGATCTTATTTTATTTTTTTTTTTTTACTTACTTGATTGTGAGTTAAAACATACACAGGTTTTACATATATCGCATAAACATTGGTTGCACAAAAATAGAAACAACAGTGTAATAATATTAAGCATCATGATATTCTTACTGTGATTTCACATGCAGACTATCATTAAATGATTGTATTTAGTCATATAGTAGATTTACACTTACTATAGTCGATCCTGATAGCCTATCTGCCATATCTGATAAGTGCGCCGACCATGTGATCCATAACATATTACTCATCTTGTTGCGAGAAATATAGGTGCGATAGATTAATCAATTATTGGCATTATTCACAATTTTTTATAATTATGCAACAATTTTAATTTTTTATTTATTTTAATGTATTTTATATAATCTATTTAAGCTTAATATGTTTTAAAAATATATAAGTTGTTAAAAATGCAACAGTTTTTGTACCAAAAAATTTTTATTGTTGAATATTTGAAATTTGTTCTTAATTCTAAGCATTTTTTAGAACAATGATCAATAACTCAACTAGTTTCTAAGCAATAGTTTTTTTTTTATGAATATTCGATTATCATTCATTATTGTAAAATGTAAATGAAAACTCTTTGGAAGCAACATCTTTCACAATATAAATATGGCATTACAAAAAAATATCATTATTATCATTCTGTATATTACTTATTATTATTAATATTATATATGATATATTTATTAAAATCATATTATATCATTAATATTAATAAATAATTTATTACATTCACATTAAAAAAATGAGATATATTACATTCACATTTAAAAAAAAAAAATAGATATTTTGAAATTACTTGGACATTATAATTTTGAAACAATACTAAGATCTCTTAAAGAAATCTGTGAGCGTGGATTGCTTTTTCTTCATTTTCTCCATCTTAGTCTCTGCTTTCTTCTCTTTTCTCTTCATCTCCTCTTTTTCTTCTTCCTCATCTTCTGAACAACTTACATAAATGTGCTCTTTCTTTGTCACAATATATTCGCCTTCTTTATAAGTTTTATTTACCAACTTCAAGATTTTTCTTTTGCCATTTTCATGCTTTATTTTTGGTGGAGAAGGACTCTTTGGTTTCGCAAGAGTTTCCGGCTCCATTTCAGGAACTGATTCCTCCATCTCTACATCACTTTGTACCTCCGAATCACTAGAATCATTCTGTATAATAATTCTCTTCCGTTTCTTAGCAGTTTCATCTGTTTCTTTGCTTCTGTTTCGCTTTTTCCCATGTAAATTTTTCTTTTCTTTACTTCTTTTTTCCTCGGGAAATTCTTTTTTGACATTATCACTTTTCTTTTCCGTTGATGTAACTTCTACAGATTTTGATGGAGATGTCAGTTTTCCAAAGAAATTATCCAAGCTTCCCTTTTTTACAGAATTACTTTGTGGAGACACTTTTTTAGCGGTAGAATTGACCATGGAACTTTTATTTTTCCCAGTTGACTTTTTAATCTTTTCTGCAGGTTCTTTCGAAAGATCTTTATCTTTTTGAACAAAATTTGTATCCTTTTCTGCAACATCTTTTTCCTTTTCTGTTAATCCCTCAGTTTCTTCCATTAAAGCTTCATCTTTCTCTGTTGAGTCTTCTTTATTTTTTTTCATTGAATCTTTTTCTTTCCGAAAGTTATCTTTTTTCACTGAGTCTCTGTCATTTTCTTGGAAGCACGACTTTAATTTTTCAGGACTTTTTGATTTTGCAGCCATATTAAATAGATTATTAAATCCATTTTTTTTCGTTGAATGCTTTTCTGTCTTTGACGGATTTATCGAATCTATAGACTTTAAATTTTCCGTAACTTTTTTAGCAGCTGTACCCCAACGTAATAATTGCATTTCTTCATCACTTCGCTCTTTGCAGGCGTCACATTTTATTGCGCTGTAATTTGCATCACCAGCACCAGAAGTGGCGAGCAACTCCAGATCCACAATTGGTTTGTGGACGCTATAGATGTGCTCCGAGATAATTTTGCTGAATTTGTCTTTAGCCTTAGATACATCGGACCCTCTGACAACCTCCACTCGCATTCCTTTATCCTTTAGATGACCTATTAGCAAATATGTGCATTCGATGTTGTCATCTTTGTGATATTTCTGATAAAACTCCCCTAAGATTTGTTTTGCTACGTTAACATGGACACGTAGCTCTTTACTTAGCCATTTGTAGGTGACCTAAAAATATCAATTTTATATAATATAGAATAACTATAATATTTTAAATATATAAATATATGTAATATGGTATGAGACACAACGAATATGTTGTATATAAATAATTGCGATAAAATTACCAGCTTGTCGTTATCAAAAACATGACCAGCCAAATCAGAGAGGATCTCGAGAGAGGACATGCTCGCGACACAGTATATATTTCTTCTTCTTTTCCTTAGAATGCGATCAAACACGATCACACGTGCGGTACCGGGTACGGCAAAAATAACCTCAAATAACCTCACTTTACCAACAAAACATAAATAGACTAGAAAATTGAGACTAAGATACTACCAGCGCCACCAGTGGATTTCGGTTAGAATAAGAGTCACGTGAAACTACTGAATAAATTTAATTTTAAAATTAATCTGCAAAATTTTTGTTTATTAACCGTATAATCTAAAATTTTATCTAAATTTTTTGTATTTTATAAAGTACGTTTTTAACTCGACATATTTCAATATATTTCAACAGAAAGATAGAAAATTTAAGAGAAGGAAAAATCAAATTTCTGAAAATCAGTAGAATTAAATATATGATTATTATTTTTCCCATTTGTGCTGCGTAAGTTCAAGGAAACTATATATAAACATATAAAATATATGAATAACTTTTTTACTATATTTGTTACATTATTCACTTATATTATAAATGTATCTACAGATGAAGGTTATAAATTAGAATTAGAACAGAATTTATAACATTGTTATAATGCTTTAACTTTCATCCTCTTTCCTTCTTTCCGGTTTATTCCTCTTTGCAATATTTTTCTTAATTTGTTCCACCGATACATCCTAAAAAATGATTTGTATGAAAAATTCTTTGCAGACAAACGATAATTATAATTAATGGTATAAATGGTATAAGTGTAATAGTTAATTTATATTAGAGTATGATCGAGCACTACATTTTTCTATTTACCGTAGCTCTAATAAGTAACGAGCAATCATTTGTGTGCATATATTGGATAGTCCAAACACCATTATTGTCTCTCGTCGTCTCATTAAAATTGCCATCGTTTACTGATTCTGTTAAGTGGATAGGTATGTTCCAGATTCTGCTTACTCCTTTGATCAGATTCACATTTTCCCGATAAAAATTGTAATCGCGTACATTGTTAACCAGAATATTAACTATGGAAAAACAAATATTGATTCAAATTTACCCTATATTAAATTTAAATATCTTTCTAAATCTAAATTTGTTAATTAGTACATCAATCATCAATATTTACCTTCCGGATTTGTCTTCTTGTTCACATTTGCCATGCAGCTTCTGATCGCATTTATCACATTCACGAGTTCACACATTCTTTCCTCCAACTCGATGTCTCTCAGATGCTCAAACTATTAAAAGAAGAAAAGAAAATAAATTATCTAACATGTACAAAAGCATTCAGGAAAGAAAAGAGTGAGAAAATATCAAAAAGAGTGAATATGAAGACTACTTGATTCACATACTTCGTATGGCATAGGATATGAAGTATCGAGCAACGAGGTGACTGATAGAAATCCTGGAAGTCCCTTTTTGGCGAGTTTTATGTACAAATCGTCCGATAAGTAAGGTGTAATAGGTGCAAGGATGCGTAATGACACTTCTAAGCATTTCACAAGAGTATTGGCATGCCCAGCGCAATTACCGCTTTTGAAACCAAATTTTGTACCCTCCTGTGTTTCAGTAAAAATATAAATATATTTTTCAAATTAAAATAAAAAAATTACTTTTATTATAGGTAATTTAAGCAAATTAAGAATAATGAAATACATAAACCGTATTATTATTACAGTATAATTAAAATTTAAAACTTCTTAAGATTCTTACAAAATTCAAGAAATTTAAAAAAGTCTTAAATTATTATTATATTATATTAAATAGTATTAATATCATACCACATAAAAGTCGCAGAATTCATAGTACAGAAATTGACGGATTGCGGCGATCGCTTTATGGAAATTTCGCTCGATAAATGCATTGTTTACTATTCCCACCATCCATGTCAATCGACTCAGAATCCATCGATCTAAGTTATTCAGACTTTCCTTTCCTTCAGTTTCATGTCGTTCTTCCTCCTTTGTCATTAATAACACGTATTTACTTGCTTGCCAGATCTTGTTACAGAAATATTTGCTTGTCCGACAATCGTCCACATCAAAACTAACGGTATGATCTATAAAAGGAAAAGAGATAAAATTCTTTCTTCCTTAAAATCCTTAATTTGCTTACTCTTAATATTGCGTGCACATAATGACAGTCTTAAGGCATCGGCACCGCAATCTGGTATTCCTGCGGAGTATGACTTTTTATTAACACGCAGCGTTCGCTGCAATTCTTCGGCGCTGAGAATACCCGCCGCGTGACTAAGTCTTGCTTGCTCGTTCAGTTCCTACATTATATTATTATTATCATTATTATTATATATTTATGTGTTGAATGTTAAATTAGTAAACTTATGCAACATATCGGTTTAAAAAAATAATTTTAATATTTGTTGGTATTTAATTTTTATTATTAACCAAGATAAAAGTTTCTATATTATAAGTACATTAAAATAAATTTAATTAATGTCATTTCGAAAAATACTCACTTCGAAGGTACAACCATTGATAATGTTTTCTGGCGAGATGACATTGCCGGAGCTTTTGGACATTTTCTTGCCATTGCCATCACACAATACACCATGAAGTAAAACTTCCTGTACACATGCATAATTTATAATTACCAATTGTATTTTACAATGTTATTTTACCGTAGTAACATCTCAATAATCAATCGGAATTGCTTAACATAATATACAGGAGTTACGTTCTAATAAAATATTGATAAAGGATAAACATGAACAACTTATTGTGCACGTACTTTAAACGGCAAACGCTCTGTCAGTTCTAGACTTAGCATCACCATTCTCGCCACCCAGAACATGAGGATATCATGGCCTGTTTCCATCAATGTTAATGGATAGTATCTTGTTATATCCTCCGTCTACAAATTTTTGCCATGTATAAGAAAAGGTTTATAAAGATATATCTAATAAAATGTATGTACAAAAGAGTAATAAAGACTAACGTTTTCCGGCCAGCCAAGCGTGACGAATGGTATAATTGTCGAAGAAAACCATGTATCAAGAACATCTGGATCCTGACGCAAGCTCACTGTGTCTCCATATTTTTCTTGTGCACGAGAACGCGCTTCTTCTTCAGATCGTGCGACTATCCACGAAGCGACGCTATTCCTACTGGTGGAGAAATCACCGTCATCACCGTCGTCTTTACCGTCATGAATTACGGAATACGCTGGAATGCGATGACCCCACCACAACTGTCTCGAAACGCACCAGTCCCTTAACAAACAAAAAAAATAAACTTTTTAATAAAATAAATTAAATATTGCATTTTTCATTTAATTATCTCTCTTCATCTCTTTATTTATTCATCTACTTACATTTTATTTATTTAATAATTAAATGATAATAATTTTACCTGATGTTTTCGAGCCAGTTATACCACATTTGTTCGTAAATGCCCTCATCACTCGGATCGATTTTTAGTTCACCATTTACTACGGCTTCGTGCGCCCGCTTAGCCATCGTTGTGCAGCGTAAAAACCATTGTTCTTTTGGCAAATATTCGACCACATCATACGTGCGTGAACATAGTGGAAGTATCATTCTGTGATTATCTTCCACACCTCTCACCATACCTCGTACGGACAATTGATTCATTAATTTCATCCGTGTAATAAATCTCGGTACTCCCTGCAATAATTTATAATTAATGATGAGAAATGAATAGACCTTGTGTGTACTGAATAAGGTATGATCCCGAAACCTTGAATTCTTTGCACGCATCTGTCATGTTGCCATCTTCATCAATAACGTTAATGACTGGCAAGCTATGTCTTTTGGCAATATTGTAATCCAAGCGATCGTGTGCCGGTGTAACTTTCACTGCACCTGTAAAACAAATACTCATCAGTGAGAAATAAAATAAACGAATACATAAAATAAATAGTGAATGAATCAATAACTGCGTTAAACAAAAAAAAATATATATGTAAATAGAATTACTTATAATATAGATGAAATTTTTAGAATAATTTTTAGAAATCTAGTTTCTTCATTTTTTGGACTGAATACGCGCGCGCGCGCGGGTGTGCGTGCAAATTTATTCTAAGTTATCAGGTTTAATTAATTCTCATAAATTTGTACCAGTGCCAAATTCTCTCTTGACCGAAGAATCAGCTATAATGGGTATAAACGTCTCTCTTATGGGATGTAAAACATGCCGACCAATGTATCTCGAATATCTATCGTCATTTGGATGCACGGCAATCGCTACATCTCCGAAAATTGTCTCAGGTCTAGTGGTTGCAACTATCAATTCTTCCTCTGCAAAACGAAGCAAAAAATAAAATTAACAAGTCTGCTAGAGCTAAAAAAAAACAGATTTTTAATAAACATTATTTTTATTTCTATATATCCTATCTTAAAATTGCCATGTTACATGCGTTGAAGTCTCTTTTCCCCAATGTTTAAAAAATCATATCTTCCAGAAAAATAAAGATATAGACTTCTTTCTGGGCTCATCTTAGAGATGAATTATGTGGCTATTTTT